TACAAGGTTTTGTCCCACTGAGTTTTCCTTGCAAGGTTTTTAACGAGGCAACCAAAAGGCGTATTGTTAGATTTGTGTACTCTTTTTCCTTTTCTAGAATTTTTTTTTCCACTGGGTTTTATTTTAGTTAAGGTTTTAACGAGACACATTATCTGTTGAACAGACATTCAAGGGGGAGTGTTATAAATAGAATTTTATTTATGGTGAATGTCTATATTTAGGGAGATTCTAGGGTTTATTACTTGGTGGCTAAGTCACCCTCTCCCTATAAATAGAGGGTTCTATTCCATTGTAATTCATCCCAAAAATCAATAACCATTCTCTCTCCCTACTTTTCTCTGCAATACTATTCTCTTTCTTTTATTGTTTTATAACAATATTCAAATACTTACCTGTATTTGCTTCAATATTTTTAACATTGATACCTTGATTTGATGCTGCGGATGGACCTCCCTTTTGGACTTTTGGGACAACCTTTTTGTTCTTCTTCGAGAAAATCATGCCATTCCTCTGTTTTTCCATTTTTATCATGTGGATTGACAATTGGCTGACTTGAATCAATGTTAGAAAAAGTTGTTGTAATGTAAGAGCATTGTCCTGCTAAATGGATGGTCTCCCTCATAGAGAATACTTTGTGTATGAGACCCTATAATAACATACGGCTTAACAGGTTCATCAAGTGGTAATTCATTGCTAACCTTGCATATCTACCTCGTACGTAGTGTAGCAGATGTACAAGCATTTACTTTAAGTAGTCTTCCAATCGTGTTTCCTATTTTTTTAGGATTGCACCATCATAGAACTCAGTTGGCAGTTGGAAAAGACGAAACATAATTTTGCTTTGCTTCCGAAGCTACAAAATTAGGCTTCCAATGTTGAACTGAAAGGAAATGCCCAAAAATGAACCATGGACCATTATGTAAAGCTCTGACCGTGTTCTCTTCTTTTGTAAACTTTACAATGACGTAATCTGCCCCTAAATTAATTAGAGGAAAGTTTTCTATTGTTCTCCACAGTTCTTGTATTTTTCTCTTCAAGTAGTTGTGTAGAATACGCCTCCCTTGAAGTTTGATGATTACAGAAAATCTCAAAGGGTGGTCAATACGTTGCATATCCTCTTCCGATAACTGGACCTGATATGGTGTCTTAGATGCTCCATTTGCCGAGACAGAACCCGCTCTATTTTCTGTTGAACTTAGACAAATATGGATTACTAAAACCATTGATCGCTCCTCCATAAGAAACTCTCCAGTCTCCATCACATACTTTTACATAATATTCATGCTCTCCACGAGATAAAAGCAATTTTTGTCTCTAAATTATTCTTGACAAAATATCATTGAAGAACTTAATTTTTTGTGATAACAATAGCTTTCAATTATTTTCTATTTCCAAAATATAACTTTGATTCTTTTGTATCTTTTATGTAATACTACTTTCTCCGTCCCTACTTATTTAATGCATTTCGGATTTCGATAGTCAAACCTTTCAATTTTGATCGCGAATCCATACATGACTCTTTTATTTCTGTGAATTAAAATTTATATATTTAGAAATTATACTATAATTAATAATTAATAATTTAAAGTCTTAAAAGGCATATGACTTTTATAGAATATTCTTATAAGTTGTGTTATTATTAGGGGTGTGCATTCGAATCGGTTTATCGATAAATCGAATCTATTATTTGTTATCGGTTTATCGATATCGGTTTATCGCTTTATCGATTTCGATTTCGATTTCAAAATTTTCCTTATCGAGTTATCGATTTCGATTTCGATTTTATCCTCTTCGGTTATTGGTTTATCGATAAACCGATAAGATATACTAAAAAGACAAATATACCCTTATTCTATAATACCCTTTCCTTTACCCTAAGTCTCTAACCCTATTATTTCCTCTACCCTTATTCTTCAGCGCCGCTTTTACCCATTTTGCCTGCCCCTTTAGAGCTCATAGTTTTTCTTCACTTTCTGCTTACAAACCGAGCTCTGTTCTGTCGCCACTGTCAAACCGAGCTCTGTTCTGTCGAAAAGTTAGTCGCCGTTGATTATCGCCGTTTCCGGTACTCCTAATTCTTCAACTTTTTCTTTTCTCTTCTATTTGGTGGAATGCTTTATGTGTATATATTATGCAGTGTAGAGTACTCATTACCCTTTGAATTTTTTCCCCCCTTATTTTTGTATTTAAGAGGCAAAATTCCATTTTAATTCATGAGTTTATCTTTTCATTCGTTTAAATTAATCGCTGTGATAAGTATTTGAAGCTATGTGAATTTTATCTACTCCTAAGACTGAGGGTAATTGACCCCTCGAAGATATCGCAGTATTTTTCTTTTTTTTTGGTTGAATATTTCTATTTGGAGTGTCGAGGGTTTACCAAAGAAATGTGCTGATTTATTGTCCAATTTACGCATATTCTAATGCTCTTTTTCACATATTAATTTATTTATTTATAGAGGCAAACAAGATTTGTAAGCATGCACATTTGACCCTGTTTAGTGTAGTTTTTTTCTTTTTTGGTCTTAGAGAATTATCTCTTAGTTAATTTTCCAGTGTTGGATGGTATAATGTAGTGTTAGTAGAAGGCGATAAGTGAACTCTGTAGAGTGGACAATGGAGTCGAAAATGACTTAAAGATGATAGATATATTTTTCCCCCCTTATTTTTGTCTTTAAGAGGCAAAATTCCATTTTAGTTCATGAGTTTATCTTTTCAAGTGTCTGCTGCCTTGGTTGGAATTACTTAACTCCTTCTGTCTTTTTTTTAATTCATTCTCTTGAGAAGAATCTGGGACTACTTGCATGTTTGGTACTTGAAATGTTTAGGGCATTTCAGTTGGTATGTTGGACCTAAGCTGATTGTGTCTTTCATGTTTTTTTTGCGTGCGTGCGTGTGTGTTATATTTTAAGGTTTTTGTTGGCCCAAGTTCAGGTGAAGTTTTGAAGAATGACAAATGAACTTAGTCATGGACCAGGTCCATCATGTGAGACACAGTGTTTATCAACCTATACATGTGAGATACACGTGAAGGAGATAAGTCTCAAGGATAAAGCAGCAATATCTCCTGAACTGATCGAAAAGGTTGCATATTGGATGAGGAAAGAAAGTATCCTCATGGGAAGAGGACACAATCCGAATAAAGGATAGGGTTGGAGTTTGTATTGTTCAAGGACTCAACTTCGATGGAAGATCAGCAATTGAGTCTCAATCAAACTCTGATTACTAACTCATTAAATAACAGTAATTGTTCTCTTTTACAGGTATTGCACAAACGCAGAAGTGAAACTAAATTGAGAGCAAAAGAGCGAGGCAATTTTGCAAGCAATTTATGTGAGATTCAAGTGTGCATTCCTGAAGCTACTTGGACAAGATAGAAGAACCAATTCCATTGTGTTTATTCTTATTCTAGTTCAATTGTAGTAGGTGGTTTAAAGTTGTACCTTTCCAGCTTTTGTAGAAGCAATTGTAATAGGTACGTTGAGTATTCAAGTTATAGGCTAACTTGAAGGTGTCGCAACAGTTGAGGCTGTGTGCCACACTGGGATTAGAGTTTAATCCTTAGGTTCACCAGAGTTTACTAAATGTTGTTTTGGCTCAGTGATTTTAGTGAAAGTTTGGGAAAATCCTACTGAGTAGTAGGTCGTGGTTTTTTCACCTTTTGAGCCAGGTGTTTTCCACGTAAAAATCTCTTTGTTCTTTATTTTATGCACTCTTAATTCCGCAAACAGTAATAGTAAGTACACCTAGAAGAACCAGGTTCTTCTAAAGCGAAAATTGGGTACCACACAAATCACCCCCCCTCTTGTGTGGTATTGACGTTTAGAACATCAGTTTTGGAGGAGATAATAAATGCTACTAGTAACATATAAGCTTGTCTAAAAATGTGGCATTACTAACTAATCCACTATGTCTTAGATAAGGACCTTATTTAAATTGATTTCTTTCCAGCCATAATTTTTATGTCAAGAGCGAGGAGTGCTGACTTCATCTTGCTTTGCTTCGTTCAACTCATTTAAGACTGTATGTTACATTCTTCATTCACTTCTCATGGATAAAAATGATAAAATTGATCAAGTGGTTGATGAAAGTAGAGGTTCTGAGTCTACTGCTGCAACTACTCACTTGACAGTTACAAGACAAAGGAAAAAACGATCTCAGGCATGGGATTTTTTTGAAGAAAAAGTTGATGCTAAAGAAAATAATAAATATGTATGTAGATATTGTGGACAAGAATATTTTGAGACAAAAGACAAAAGTATGACACAAATGAATAGTCATATCAGTAAATGTCTAAGGAATCCTTATAAAGTTAAAAAAGGTCAAAAACTATTACAATATCAAACATTACCGGGGGGGGGGGGGGTAATAAAGGTGATCTTATTCCATAGAAATTTGATCAAGAAGAGTGTAGGGTCGCTTTGTGTCGTATGGTGATTGTTGATGAACTTCCATTTAGTTTTGTTGAGAAGGAAGGCTTTAGAAACTTTATGAAAGTGGCACAACCTTGTTTTCATATTCCTTCCCGTACTACTGTTACACGGGATTGTTTTGCTCTTTTTAATGTGGAAAAAGATAAATTAATGAAGTTTCTTAAAGGAACAAGTCAAAGAGTAAGTCTTACCACAGATACATGGACTTCTATTCAAAAAATTAACTTTATGTGCATCACAGCCCATTAGATTGATAGTGGATTATGCATAAAAGAATTATTAACTTTTCTCCAATTACTAGTCATATAGGTGAAGATATGGCAATGTGTATTATTGATTATTTGCGTGAGTGGGGTTTGGAAAAGATTTTCACTGTCACAGTTGACAATGCTAGTTCAAATGATGTGACCGTGGAGAAGTTGTCTGACAAATTAGATGATTAGGGAACCAATTCCATGAATGGTCAACACCTTCACGTGAGATGCATGGCTCATATTGTTAATCTTATTGTGAAGGATGGTTTAAAAGAGTCAGGTATTTCTATTGCTCGTGTTAGATGTGTAGTCAGATGTCTCCTGCTAGGTTGAGGAAGTTTCAGGAATGTTGTGAAAGTGAAAATATTGTCAAGAAGTCTTTATGCTTAGATGTTCCTACAAGGTGGAATTCCACCTACTTGATGTTGAGCAGGGCTATTGAATATGAGCGTGCCATTAAAGAATATTCTGATCGTGATACCAGCTTATCACGTTATCTTATGTTTGATGCTATTTCAGATAGAAAGCCTGTAGGTATGCTTACAAGAACTGATTGGGATGATGTAAAGAGAACTGCACAATTTTTTGAAATATTTTATAATCTCACTTTGAAGGTGTCCGGATCACTTTATGTAACATCAAATGCCCATTTTCTTGAAATTGGTCAAGTTGCTGTTTACTTAAATCGATTAATAACAACTGAAGATGAACTTTTGAGTGAGATGGAATCAAGTATGTGGAAAAAATTTGAGAAGTATTGGGGTGAACCAAAAAAAATATACAAAATGATTTTCATTGCTTGTGTTTTGGATCCTCGCTACAAGTTTACTATTGTTAGTTTTGTACTTAAGAAGATGTTTGGAGATGAAGGGACAATTATTGAAAAAGAGGTTCATACTTATATGAGTTCATTGTTTAATGAGTATGTCTCTAAGTCGGTTTCAAAAGATACTGGTGGTAAAGTTTCTACCTGTTTGCCAAGCTCTTCATTCAGCACAATGGAAACTTCAACTCCTGGTTTAGGTGAACTTTTAGATGAAATAAGGAAACATAAAGCTGCAAGTGGAGGTGTAGATTCTAAAATAGAATTGGAAAAGTATCTTGCAGAAGATCCTGAAAATGAAAGATCGGACTTTGATATCTTGGCTTGGTGGAAGGTGAACTCACCTAGATTTCCTATTCTTGCTAGGATGGCTCGAGATGTGCTTGCTATTCCTATTTTAATTGTGGCATCTGAAAGTGCATTTAGTACCGGAGGGCGCATTCTTGACCAATTTAGGAGTTCATTAACTCCTAAATTGGTTGAAACTCTAGTGTGCCTTCAAGATTGGCTTCGGAGTGAATTGCTTCATGTAAATGTTGAGGAAGATTTAGATTTTCTCGAGACACTCGAAGAAGGTATGTATATTTTAATTAATTTTATTGTATTGCTTAAGATAGTTAAATAATATATTAATTGCTTGACTTGTTAATATATATTCTTATTAATTTTACTAATCTTGGCAAAAAAGCTTTCACTGACGATGTTTGCTAGAGTTTGTTAGCTGCTATGTAAATTCTCCATTTTAAATAATATCCTTGTATTGGTAAAAATTGAGTTCATATATATTGAATTCAATGAAAGATGACGTGCCATGACACGTAGACTGGTCAAAGGATGACGATCAACAAAGAATAGTTAAAGAGGCACGAGATACAACAGACACGAGCAGAGATTCAAGAGACTCAGTGCCCTCACCACTTTATGTTCAAAAGTCAAGATAAGAGAATGGACCTGACAGCAAAAGTGGGAATGCATACAGTATTTAATAGGCATTAAATACTGAGAACGTTAGAGAATCTGTATTGAAGTACAATGATTATCATTTATAACGTAGCATTAAATACCTTTAATTGTCTATAATGGCCTTATTATGACAAAGGCAAAACGTATCACCTAGAAATATCTATAAAAAGGGCAACCTGATCATTTGTAAAGATAGGAAATACTACTGGAATATACTGATTTACTTCGCTTTCTATTCAACTTTTATTTACATCCATTATTCATATTTCTATTTGATTATCAGTAACCCGAGTTCTTCTAAAAATAAGCTTTAGCCGAAATCCCACTTTTTGGTTAAACAAATTGGTTCCGTTACCGGAAATCTGATAATCGTTTTGCTTTCTTAAGTCAATTCTCTCATCAAACAACCTACTATGTCGGATATCAACGACAATAGTCAACAAGGTCTTCAACAACAAGAAAATAATGCAGATGACAGGACTCCACTTCCTTCACCACATGATTCATAATGTCAATCACAAGAAGGAACTCCAGATGGCTCTGAGACAAACGATGGAGTTGCAAATCAAAACGGAGTCGAAGCGATTCAAAATGCTGGAGTTGTAAACGAACAAGCACTTGATGATGCCTTAAAAAATCTGATTGCTCAGTAAGTCAGTAATGCTCTCCGTGCTTTTACTAGCCAGTTGCCACCAACACCAACTCCGAATTAGAACACATTGGAAAACCCACGTTCTGGGCTATTGCATTCAGGCACTGGTGGAACTCCAAGCGAGTCTCGTGATGGCGAACTAGGTAACATAGTTAATTATGATTTACAAAATTTAGTTCTAACCCTGCAGAAGCAGCTCAAGGAACAAAGCGATTGCATAGAGCAAATACCCGGAGTACCACCTGTAATCAAAGGAATAGACATGGACAAATATTCACAACAACCTTGGAAGCCAAGTGCTGCTCCCCTCCCAATTCCAAAGAAATTCAAAATGCCCGATATTTCAAAATACGATGGAATAACTGATCCACGAGACCACGTGATTGCATTCACAACTGGCGTAAAAGACAATGACTTGACCAAACAAGAAATTGAATTTGTATTGGTCAAAAAATTCGGTGAAACACTCACCAAGGGAGCATTAACATGGTATTCTCTTTTACCCGAAAATTCTATAAATTCTTTTGATGAGCTTGCAGATTTATTTATCAAAGAACATTCGGGAGCTCAAAAAGTCGAAAAAAGGATGGAAGATATTTTCAAAATAAAGCAAGGAGATTCAGAATTGCTTAGAGAATTTGTAGATAGATTCCAGCGTGAAAGGATGACGTTACCAC